GCAGGGAGCGCAGGAGGAGCGGCTGTGGAAGGAGGAGCCGCTCAGGAAACTGAGGTGAGGAGTCAGGATGGGGGAGCAGAGAGGAGAGGGGACAGGGGCGGCGAGGGCTGGGTCGCCCAGACGGAGGGGCAGGAGGGCCTCAAGGAGGGCCAGTGAGGTCTCAAGCCCCAGCTGAAACTGTGATGTCATGGGGTTCTCCTCGTCACCCTCTTGGTGGACAGCGACACCTGTCTCCAACAGGACGTGCGGGCTCGCAGGCCTGGGGTGGGTCCTATGTGCTTCCCTTTGCCTGCGATGAGGGCCGATGCCTGCAGCTGGGCAGCCCCTGGGAGTGTGAGGACACCAGTGGGAGAAGACAGGCACTGAGTCCCCAAGCATCTCAGACTTTATAGAATGGAATGTGCTGCCCTGGCCGGTTTGGCCCAGTGGAGAGAGCGTCAGCCTGCGGACAGAGGGTCCCGGGTTCAGTTCTAGTGAAGGGCATGGACCTTGGTTGCAGGCTCCTCTCCAGCCCGGGCCCTGGTCAGGGCTCATGCAGGAGGCTCCCAATGAACATGTTTCTCTCACATCTGTGCATCTCTCTGTCTTTGCCTCTCTTCCACTCTCTCTAAAAATCAATGGAAAAATATCCTAAGGTGAGGGTAAAAAGAAAAAAAAATTGATGATGAAAGGAAAACGGGCGTGTGTGCGGACTGGGCACCGTGAACGCCCAGGTCACTGTGGCTGCTGCAATGAGCGAAATCCTCGCCCGAGAGCTGGATGGAAGACAGGCTCGTACTTCCCCAAAGCCCTTCCATCTCCCCAAAGTCTTTGCAAGTCACTGAGTTTGCACACACTCTGAGCACCTGCTGTATACACGGCAGAGAGAGCTGAGAGGGACCAGAAAAGGATCTGGGGGTTCATACCCCTCAGGCCTGTCTCACCCCCAGGAGAAGGCGCCCTCGGAGAACAGAGCCACACCCTCCCTGGCCCAGAGCAAATGATAGGGGACAGGGGACAGTCACAGCTCTCCAGGTTGTTAGACCTCAGGACCAGGGACAGGACAGCCAAAGCTCTCAAGGTATTAAACCTGAGGACAGGGACAGGAGACAGGAGACAACCATAGCTCTCCAGGTCGTCAGACCTGAAGAACTGAGCCAGCCTCCAGCCACTGTCCTCACAGGACTCAGGTGAGACTGGGTGGAGGGATTCTAGGGAGCAGAAAACAACACACAAAACCCAGGACCTGCGGACAGATCTCGGGCTCCCCTCTCCCTGCCTGAGGCTCTGGAGCAGGTGGACGCTGGTAAGTGGAGAGTAGCAATAACAGACAGAATTGTCGAGGGTAGATTCTGTGCGGAGGGTCCGCTCCCCACTGGCCGGCTGCTGGCAGTCAGGATGCAAACCCAGCAGAGGAGGAGCCTGGGCCCCGGTGGCAGCCAGGGGCTGAGGCTGAGGAACCCCAGCGAGAAGGGCCCCACGCCCTTCCTCGGGGCTGTGGGAGGCCACACACCTTGCCCCGTCTGCAGGCTGCGACCCTGGGGAGGTGATACCAGCCAGCTCCCCCTCAATGTCCCCAGCACCTTAAAAGCCACAGATATGTCAAGTGCAGGCCTCACCCCCAACTGTGTCTGTGCCAACCGGCCCAGCCCATCCCGGCCCAGCCCATCCCCGGCCCAGACGCAAGGGGCAAAGGTTCACTCGCTCACACGTGACAGAAAAGAACCACGTCAGGATTCCCGGACACACCCGATGCCTCCCTCCTCTGTGACCGAGACAGGGGATGTTGACACTCCACAGGTGGGTTTTACAGGAAGAACCTCAACCTCCCAACTGCTCCTTCCCTTTCCATTTCTGGGCCTCTGAAAGAAGCTCCATCTCCATTTATTTTTCTTGTTCTTTTTTTTTAAATATATATTTTTTTAATATATATCTTTTTTTAATATATATAGAGGAAGAGGGAGAGGGAGAGAGAGCAACATCAATGATGAGAGAGAATCATTGATCGGCTGCCTCCTGCACGCCCCGCACTGGGGGTCGAGCCTGCAACCCGGGCCTGTGCCCGGACCAGGAATTGAACCCTGACCTCCCGGTTCATAGGTCAACGCTCAACCCCTGAGCGTGCCGGCTGAGCATCATTGACCTTTTTGTCCCCACCCGCCTGGCGCTCTGACCTCAGCCTGGGCTTCCGTGGGGCACCCGCCCTGTCCCCTGTTTCCCTGACTAGGGAACAGCACCCATCCCAGCACAGCGTGCACCTGCCCAGGGGCCACTCTCCCACACCCACGCCCATCCTCTCCCTCGGGGGCCTGCATCCTTCCTCCTGTTCAGAAGTTTGCCCATTGGGAATTGCTTTACATTTTTCACACAACCTTCCAGAGATGGACATGGGGAGGGACTGACCTTCCCCAGAAAACACAGGTTTCCTTTCCTTCCTTCTTCTCACCGCACGGACCCAGAGAGAGGCATGCTCCCCGCTCCCCACATCGCTGTGGGCCAGGCCAGGCCGCTTTAAACCAGTTCAACATGAGGCTCTACGGATGCCTTTACCACACCAGGTGCTGGCCTGGCTGAGGGAGACCAGGAGGAAGAGCAGGTGCCCCGCCTCTCCTGCACCCAGGGGGCCAAGCTCCAGGAAACCAGGGAGAGGATGCCTAAAATGGGGCCTGGGGAGGGCAGGGACCCAGAGACAGAGGTGAGGGCCGCCCAGGCATCCTCTCCTCCTGCCCCTGGGAGACTTGACTCAGACAAATAATAGAAGACATGAAAACTCCGGGAGGAGGTGCCAATCTCTGACACACGGCAGCCCCTGGTTTTCACTGGGCTCTCCAGCCGCCTCTGTGCTCGCCACTCACTGCAGAGCGGACTTCCGGGTGTGGAGACCAGCAGGGCCAGGCTGGTCCACATTACAGAGGGGCAGCCAGGCATCAGCAGAGAGCAGCTCAGGACGCCTGGCTGGGGGGAGAGGGTGTGTGGAGGGAGGAGGTTCTGGGGAACATTCCAGAAGAGATCTCAGAGCTGCTGGCTGAGGAGCTAGACTGGAGGTGAGACCTGCCTCAGGGACGGGCAGCACAGCGCTGTCCCTGTGATGATGGCCCCTCCAGGGTCCCATAGATGCCCTAGAAGAGCCTCATCCGCTCAGGCGGGCAAGCGCTGCAGCGCTGAGTCAAGGGCGCTACCCTCTGGCTGCAGGGGCACCTGGGAGGGGCAGGGTAGGCCTGGGGCGCCACCTTCCAGGGCCCCCAGGGCACAGGGCCTTGGGTATTGGGACCTCACACTTGCTGCCCTGGCACACGGTTTGTGCCAGGAGACTGCCCTCTGGCACCTGGGCTGTGGTGAGGACTCAGAAGCCCCTTGTGGGTTGCATGACCAGAGGAGACCTTGGGGTGCAGGAAGGGAGCTGGCCTGGATCTGACACCATTCCCCCTCCCTGGGACGCAAAATCTGGGGCAGCACCGGGGAGATTCTCAGGGACCCCAGGCCTGGTCTCGGGAAACTCCTGGGTGTGGACGGTGTGTTTGGGTGGAGATCGTGACCAATGAAGTAGCAGCACTAGCAGAACCCACAACACACCCGGATGGGCCTGTTCCACCCTGCAAAGCCCTGAGCCCCCAGCAGGACAGCCTGGGTCATCCAGGCTCGGACTCCATAGTGTTGGCCCTGCCCTCCCTGAGCTGGGCATGTCCCCTGGGAGGGAGCGTGGGTCCAGCACAGGGGAGTCTGAGAGGAGCCGGGTGGACAGTCAGTGGACAGAGGTGCATCCCCTCGGGGACAAACTCTCCCAGCTGGGGCTCAGGTCACACTTGAGCCTGGAACACAAAGTCCCCCTTTCCTCGCGGCTGGGGGTGGAGAGGACGAGCGGAGCCCCTTCCTGAGGCGGGCACACCCTGCATCCTCTGCTCCCAGGCCATCCTGGCTGCCCTGCTGGGAGCCTCTCTGTTCTCCTCTGTGTGATGGGCGGACAAAGGCTCCGAGTCCAGTTCCTTCCCTGACAGGGTGACTCCTAAGGGGAGCTCAGCTCAGGTTGGTCCCGCCCTGCCCTTCCTCTCAGAGCAGAGTCTCCCTCCTGGCTCAGCCCTGCAGGTCCCTGCACTGGGCCCGGCCATGCCCTGCACTGGCTGCCACAGGATAGTCAGGGCTGGGCACCTGGTTCCTGTCCTGTGGGGGCTCCGTGTCCCGTGCCCGGACCCTCCTCAGGTAGGAGCACCTGTCCTCTCACCTGTGCTCTCGCCTCCTGCCTGGCTGTGCTGTGCTGCCCAGGGTGACCCCACACTCCTGGGACCTCACTGGCCCAGGTCAGTCCTGGGAGGGCCTTTGTCAGAACAGAGAAATCAAAACATAATTCATCCCTGAGGTCATAGGATGAGACATTTCAGCAGAAACCTTCCCTCTCCTATGACGCCATGTGGGTACCATGAGTGGCCTGAGTTTAGGGAAGGGGTGTGGCGCAGCAGGGCCAGCTCACCAGGTTCCAGGTGCTCTGATGGCATATAAGGCACCTCGATCCTTGAAAGCGTCCCAGACGGAGGACGGGCCGTGACCAGCAGAGAAGGTGAAGGAGCTGAGACATGGAGGACAACCCAGCACCAAGTGGCAGGTACCACCCGCCCCTGGAGCAGCCCTGCTCCTGGGCCCCTCCTCCTGGCTCCCTGAAGGGGACTTGTCTTCTCCCCGGGGGACCCCTGCTTCTCCCATATCTCCTGATGGCCATTCTATGCCCAGGACCTCTCAGCTGATGCCCAGATGGCCAGTTCTACCTGTCTCCCATGGCCTCAGGCCAGACTCTGGGGGTCACCCTAGAGGGTCCCTGTTTCTCTTCTCCCTCTGATTCCCGTGAAATCTATTCTTTCTGCTCTGAACTGAGGCCCTAGGACAGTGATGGTGAACCTATGACATGCCTGTCAAAGGTGACACGCGAACTCATTTTTATGTTTCATTTTTCTTTGTTAAATGGCATTTATATCTAACATATATTAAAAATATAAATCTTTGTTTTACTATGGTTGCAAAAATCAAAAAATTTCTATATGTGACACGGAATCAGAGTAAAGTTAGGTTTTTTCAAAATGCTGACACGTTGACTCAAAAGGTTCGCCATCACTGCCCCAGGAGGTCATGTTCAGATTTATGTTTTGGTTTTTGTAAAGGACTTGATTGTTTCATGATGAGAAGGGAAATGTCATGAGTTATCTGAGAAGACTAGTTTGGCATCTCTTTTCCCCGATGGGGCCACCCTTCCCCCTGATGCACCACGTGGCTCAGGTTAACCCAGAAGAGCAGAGGAAACAGCGCCACTGGGCTGCACCTGGCAGGGCTGGGTCAGCGGGACGAGGGCAGGACAGTGATGCCAGGAAAGGTCTCATCAGAGCTCTGAGCCCCTGCACTGCTCCCGGGGAAACCCTGACAAAAGGACTGGCTGACTCCCCCAGAGCCCCCAAAGGGGTCGGAGGGAGGTTAGGTGTCCCAGCTAAGTGAGTGGACGCCTGTCCTCTGTGGGTCTAGCCGGGATGTGGGTGCAGAGGGGGGGAGAATGGGGTGATCCCCAGAGGAACCCCATGCCTTGCTTCCTCCTGCCAGTGCCCACAGACCCCTGATGGATGCCACCACCTTCAAGGACAACTTTGGTATCACCTGGGCGAATGAAACATACCTGTGCTACGAGGTGGAGGTCCAGGAGGGCGATGCCTGGGCCCCAGTGGAGGGGCTCCAGGGCTTCCTGCGCAACCAGGTGAGTGAGCACAGCAGGCCGGGCCCCGGGAC